AAAATTTAAAAATAAATAAATAAATAAATAAAATAAAAATTAAAAAAAATAAAAAAATAAAAAACATGTCCGAATTGTTAATCCTTTCAAGTTTTCCCATGCAGTTCAATTTTTGTTCATGAACTATTTGCCTACCCCTATGTCTTCAAGGTTTCCTCCTACTTTCTCTTTCAGGAGACTTAGTATTTCTCTTTTAATGTTTAGATCTTTAATCCATTTTGACATTAGCTTATTGCATGGGGATATACCTGGATCAAGTTTTAGTTTTTGGCATGTAGAGAGACATATTTTACAGCACCATTTGTTAAAGAGACTATCATTCTTCCAGTAAGCCTATTCGGCCTCTTTGTCAAAGATAAGTTGGCTCAGTGTGTTTGTGGTTGCGTCTGCATTTTGTAATCTGTTCCATTGATCCTCAGGTCTATTTTGTTCCAATATCATGCTGATTAAATAACAGCAGCTTTGCAGTATAATTTCAAGTCAGGAATTGCAATATTTCCTTCTTTGCCTTTGTTGCGCTGGATTGCCTTTGCCATTCTAGATTTTTCTGGTTCCAAAAAATTTTGGAATGATTTCTCTAGGTCTGTGATGTATGTTGGTGGTATTCTGATAGGGATTTCATCAAATTTTTATGACAATTTTAGGAGTATGGCCATCTTCACAATGTTGGTTCTTCCTATCCAGTAGTAGGGAATCTTTCCATTTTCTGAAATCCTTGAAAATCTTTTTGTTCAGAGAACTATAAAGTTCATTGAATATATTTTTTACTTCTTTAGTTAGATTAATTCCTAAGTATTTCATTTGGCATGGTTTTTCTTCCTCTAATTTATTACTCATGTGTTTGTTTGCTGTGTAAAATAATTCTATTGACTATTTTGTATTGACTTTGCACCCTGTTAAGCTTATGAATTTTTGTATTAATTCTAGCAGCTTCTTGGTGGAGTTTTCTGAGTCATCCAATTACAGTGTCATGTTATCTGCAAATAATGATAGTTTAACTTCTTTTTTACCTATTCTTATTCCTTTTATTTCTCTCTCTTGGCTAATGGCTCTAGCTAATGACCCCAGAGCTATATTTAATAGGAGTGGTAATAGAGGACATCTTTGTTTTGTACCTGACTTGAGAATAAAAGATCTCAGTCTTTCCCCATTTAGAATTATGTCAGCAGTAGGATTGTCATAGATGGCTTTTATGAGATTGAGGTAGAGGACATGCTTTCAAATTTTCTGTGGTACTTTCATTATGAATGAGTGTTTGACTTTGATGAAAATCTTTTCTGGTTACTTTGAGATGATCATGTGTATTTTTGGATTTGTCTCTATTTGTACAGTGCACTACACTTACAGATTTGCATATATTGAGCCATTCTTGCATCACTGGATTAAATCCTACCTGGTCATGGTGTATGATCTTCTTGATGTTTTGTTGTATTCTATTTGCTAAGATTTTATTTAGAATTTTTGCATCTATGTTCATGAGGGAGATTGGTCTGTACTTCCCTTCTTTAGTCACATATTTTTTATTCTAGTATCAGTATAATACTTGCCTCCAGGAATTCTTTTGGAGAATCATTTCCTTTTAAAATTCCTTGAAGAGTTTGAGGAGTATTGGGACTATATCTTCTGTAATTTTCTTATAGAATTCAACTGTGAACCCATCACTGCCTGGACTTTTCTTTGTCAGTAAGTTTTTTCTTGCACTTTGTATTTCATTGGATGATATAGGGCTATTGAATGTTCTTGTATCTTCTTTATTCAGTTTTTAGGAATTTTTGCCTTTCTGGGAGTCTGTCCATTTCTTCTGTATCTTCTACTCTGTGAGAGTTAAAATTCTCAAAGTAGCTTTTGATGATCTTAATTTCCACTGTGTCTGGGGTAATTTCACCCTTTTCATTACTTATTGCTTGAATTTTAGAGGTTTTTTTCTGCTTTTTTATGAGATCAGCTGGGGACTTATCAATTTTATTTAATTTTTTCAAAAAACCAGTTTTTTGATTTGTTAATTCTTTGTGTTGTTTTTTTCATCTCCATTGCATTAGTTTTTGCTCTAAACCTTTATAGTTTTCTCCCATCTTTTGGCTTTGGTTTGGTTTGATCCTCTTTTCCCAGACTTGTGAGGTGCATCGTAAGGGTATTTATTTCTTCTCATTTTGTTTTGCTAATGTATGAATTCACAGCTACAAATTTCCTTCTAAGAACTGTTCTTATTTGCATCCCATAATTTCTTATAAGTTGTGCTTGAATTTTCTTTCAATTGTAGATATTGTTTAATTTCTACTCTAACTTCATGTGTAACTCATTGGTTGCTGATTAGGGTTTTCTCTTATTTCCAGGTATTTGTGGGGTTTTTCTGGTTTCTTTTTTCATTTATTTCCAGTTTCATTACAATATAAAGTATGGTCAGATAATACACATGGGAAAATTTCTGTATTCTTGTATATACTTAAGCATGACCTATGAATTGTATGTGGCCTATTTTAGAAAAAGTCCCATATGCAGCTGATAAAAAATGTATATTTAGATGTGGCTGGGTGGAACACTCTGTATATGTCCACTAAGTTCATTTGCTCCAAGTTCTGGCTCAGTTCTACTATTTCTTTCTTAATTTTATGTTTGCTTGATCTATCTTTTGGGGATAATGATACGTTAAGCTCTCCTATTAAGACTGTGCTATTGGATATTAAACTTTTTTTGTCAATTAGGATTTTCTTATATTGTTAGGTGCTCCCATGTTGGGGTGTGTATATATTTATGAGTGTTATCTCTTACTCTTGTGTTTTTCCCCTTACCAACATGTTGTGATCTTCTTTATTTCTTTTGATCATTTTTGGTTTGAAGTTCAGACTGTCTGCAAACAGGATTGTTGTCCATGCTTTTTTTCTGAGGTGATAGGTCATGTAGTATTTTTCCATGCTTTCACTTTTAGCCTATTAATTTCTTTATGATTTAAGTGTGTTTCTTGTATACAGCATATTGTGGGATGTTGCTTACTGATCTACTCTGTCTATTGTTTTATTTTTTGAATTGAGTCAATTTGCATTGAGGGTAATAATTTTGATGCATTGACTTATGATTGGCATGTTCTTTACCTGCAGTTTTATACACATTTTTCCCCAGTGTTTAACTCTTTGCCCCATTTGGTGGGTTATTTCTGCTCTCATTCATGCAGTGTGGTAATTTTGGTCCTTCCCCAGAATATTTTTAGTAGTCTGTGTAGGATTGTCTTTGTCATCATGAAATTCCATAGTTGTTCTTTGTCTTGGAAGTATTTCACTTCTCCATCAAACATGAGAGTTCAATGCTCTTCTTCACTTCATTGTTTTTGAAGAGAAATCTGCCATTATTCTGATGAGTTTTCCTTTAAATATGTTCTGTTTATTTTATCTAGCACCTTTTAGTATATTGTTCCTGTGCTGGATTTCTGGGATATATATGTAGGTTCTATTTATTTTTATTTTTATTTTTGGGAAGTGTCTACAGGGTGTCCCCAATCTCAGTACTAGATCAGTCTCGTAGTGATCTGCCTTTTTACAGCCTCCCAAGAGCTGGAATTACAGGCGAGCACCACCACGCCTAGTCTCAATTACCATCTCAGCATACCTAGGAGACAAGGCCAGCACTGCAGGCCCAGGGATCAAACGCCTGGACCCTGCACCTGCTTGCAGGAACTTTAATTCCCCGAGCTATTTGTCTGGCACAAGGTGTGATTTTAATTGTGTTGATTCTATTTGGAGTTCTTCATGGTTTGCTTACCTGAATGTCTGACTGTTTCCCCATGTTTGGGAAGATTTTTTGCCATTACATCTCTCCATTGTTTTTCATATCATTTGTATTGACTCCTTTCTCATTGGTACATAATACCTTTACGTTATTTTTCTTTGCATCATCTTGCAGATGTTTAATTATTACATTTTTTGCATTCTAATTGTTCTTAAGAGATCTTTTCTTATCTTTTCACTAGCTGCAATGGTGTCTTCAAGATCTGAAACTATATCTTCACTTTCATTCTAATTGTTTTGTAAGCTTGTGATTTAGGTTTTAATACCTGTGTATCGCTTTTGATCTGCTTCATGCATTCTATTTCTTTCCTATATCTTTTATTGAAGGATTCCATCATTTTTCTATTCTACTTTATTTTTATCAGTGTCTACTGTACATACTCTTAGTAATTGTTTCATTATAGTTATCATTTCCTTTTTTACCTTAGCGATTATTTCTAATCTGATATCCTCTATAGCTTTCTGCAGCTTTATTATTATTTTTTTTACTTCAGACACTATTATTTCAGAGATTTTAGGAGTGTGGCTTCCAATTTCTTTAATGCTAGTGTCTCTTGCGTTTGTTCTGCATGGATTTGGGG